AAAAAAAAAGTCAGTTTTTAGTGAAATTTTGCCGGGAATGGGGCTTTAATACACTACTAAGATAGGCTTTTCTTTTTAATCTTGATTTCAGAGGTCAAGAAAATTTCTCAATTTTTTAAAAATCTTATAGTGGTGTAGACTGGTCTTTTAAGAACATTTTCCTGGATAGTTTTTTGGATACCACGCCCCGTTATGAAGTTATGATTTTTTTAAATAACATGATGTCAGAAAATCAGCCCAAAAGCTTATCTTATTATCTGTTGGTTACGCAATGTTTGTCATCACTTCAAGATGTCTACTGGTTCGTGAAAAAGGCCTATTATGTTAGCAAAACCTAATAACTTTGTGGTTATTATACTAACTCAATGGATGGTGTCAGTTGATCAGATCCAGAGGTGACGGAACTAGGGGGTGCTGTGTTATGGAGAGTAATGTGTGACCGGAAATGGTCTGCAGTCGGTTGGTTGTTACCATGCGCCAGTGATGTTGGAGTATATAGTACAGCAATATGAAACTATTATGTAGGCCTAATGAATGAATAAAGTTCGGAGTTTGTCGGGTAGTGAAATGATTATTTCACATTTTAAGTGCTCCCTAAATTCATAAATGTGTAAGCTAAATTACGGTGATTAATTTAATTAGCGAAGATATGGAGACAATTATTTCGAATCCCTCTTTCCAAGAGGGGATGCAAATGCTTTGTGAAAATGAGTATGCCGCGGTACTCATTTTCACAAAGAAATACACACAACTGTTTAGCTAACAATTATGTCAATGTTACATGAACACCTGGGAAGAAAGGTGCAATCACGTTGTTACCTAGCAAACGTCTGTACTGTATGGGGAGGGGCTGCTGATGTACTGTGTAGCGGGGTACGATGAGGCATAAAGACTAGGCCTAGGCCTCATTAAGACAGTGGAATTATATGTGACAGAAAGTACACTTTCAGAAGAAATAAATTAAAAGAAGAAAAAAAAATAACTAAGAATAATTCATTTGCAGAGGTACCTTATTAAAGTATTATACAATGCTAACAATGCGGCTCTTGTAGCCCTGGCTTGGGCAAGGCATCCATGTGCAAAGCAGTGGTGTTTGTTTATCCATAAAAGCACACCGGGAAAGTTTGCCTTACCAGGAAAAGGTGACGTATCTAGCTTATGATGTATGCATGCTAACTAACGTGAGTGTGACGTCACCAAAAAATGAATATTTTCTATTATAACCAAAATATTAATAACTACAAAGTTTCTGGGCATAAATTCCCTTAATATGAATGAAGGGTTGCTCAATCTCCTTGCCATACAAATTACAGCTCCCACTGACGTCTCAGTCGAGAAATACGGGTAGCTGAAGTTTTTCTTGCAAATCTGACTACAAAACCATATCCAAATTTCACGTTCCACTTTTGACCCTGAGTTGTGCTTCGCACTCGCCGCTGAGGGCGGCGTTCCGGTAACCCTGCGTCCAGCTGGATATACCAACTTCACAAATTATTATTCATACAAACCTTTGTAAACCACAAAACAAAACTACATTTTAGATTGATTATAATATGATTTGTTTTTTCGGTTAGATGAAAAATGTAGGCTGTAGGCGATAAAACATATACCCCCTACCACCAGTTTTGAGTCTTTTTTTAGTCGAAAATTTGATTTGCGCATGCGTCGGGTCAAACTTCCCTGACATTTTGTTTCTGTCGCGAGCTGCCTAGAAAAGTTCTTTATGTTGTTTTCGCGACTGTCAGTAAACATTGAGCAAACTGAGATAGTTGTGGCATATCGGCCACTTACTTTTGCTATTATTTGAAGGTGTTCTGTGTGTTCTATTAGTGTTTTAGTATACTTTAACGGCTAAGATTGACGGACCTGGTGTACCTAGGCCTAGCCTAGACACATACATAATGGGATCAAGTATACAAGTTGGCCACCGGGTTTGACCTGGGTGATACCATTCTAAAAATGGGTGTGATGGATTATGCGTGTTGTGTATTATATACATGGTGTGACGAGGCCGGGATATAACATACGGTTTAAGACTATGTAGGCCGTCTAACGGAGTGTGTTAATTTAATTAATTAAACATACAATAGTCCCTGATTTCCATGTTTTATTTCAGTTATAATTATTGATTATGTATGAAAATGTGTGTCATAATACTGTGGGCATAATACCGGGTACAACATAGTGTATAATCAGTACAGTAGATGCCGATTTCAGTTATAATTATGTGCCTGTATATAAGGTATAGGCCTATTCGGGGGTATAATTATATGTCTTTAATTATGAATTAAACCATATAGTAGATCCCAATTTCAGTGTTTTATTTCAGTTATATTTATGTGCCTGCATATAGGTTAAATAGTCGGGGTTATAACATAGGGTATAATTAAGCATAGAGTAGATCCCGATTTCTATTGATTATTATGTCTGCAATTCCCTGTTATAGGGTAATACAATCGAGGGTGGGTTAAGAGAGAATGGCTCGAGGAATACTTAGATGAATTCATGTGGAGAGAAAGGATTGGAAGAGGTAGAAGGGAAGCCTTCCATAACATCATTGCCCACATTGCAGAGTTTTATCCGCAGTGATAGTGATACTGTATATAGCAAGATACATACATGTATATAATAAAAATATAATAAAAACAGTTAAATGCCCAAGAAAAGTATAAAAAGTATAACTGTAACATAGTGCAAGTGAATGATTTTTAAAATAACCTTTCAATATATGGTATGAACTTATTATTTGTTAATTTTTTTTTGTCTTCATTGCTTTTGTTCTCAAAGTTATATCGTATGCATGTTTTCCTTATTCAAGTAAGCATGATACATAAGGCATAAATTTGATAATGATGCCATCTGTTCTGTTACTATATTATGTGCCATGCGGGTAATAATAACATGGATGAACATACATACACACTTTGACTGGTCCGCTGTTGAAGCAGTCGACTTTCACTGATAGTTAATTACATACAGTATTTCTGGTCATTACACACATATAATAATAAAAATAATAATAGTGACCAACAATTATAACCAAAGTGATACGGTAATCCAACAATAAGGTATGCTGTATGTTTAATTCATTTTAAATACACTAAGGACGTAGGACTACACAACACACATCATTACAGACAGGGTAATCAATAATTATAACTGATATTATAAAATGTAGTCTTATACTAAATAATACACGCTGTTACACAGGATACAATATTTTATAACTTTGTAAGCCAGGCCAACCTAAGCTCACTTTAAGCACAGAACCAACTAGCAGTTCATGTAGGCACAGAAAGAAACAATGCAACAATTAACTCTTAAACAATACACTAAGGACCATATCAACTATGCACCATGGCAACATATATGCGCTAGAGTTTCTGTAGTATTAGTGTAAAATCCTGCCTTGGATGCTCATATACTTATACACAGGCACAATTACAGATATAATAACCAATAACTACAACTGAAATAAAACACTGAAATCAGGATTAACTGTATGTTTAATTATTAATTAAATACATATAATTTTACTCACGATTTATACCCTATAAAAAGGCATACTGTATAGTTACAGACATAATAATCAATAATTATCTGAAATAAAACACTGAAATCCGCATTAACTGTATGTTTATTAATTAAAGACATATAATTATACCCTCGATTGTATTACCCTATATACAGGGAATTACAGACATAATAAATAGAAATCGGGATCTACTGTATGCTTAATTATACCCTATGTTATAACCCCGACTATAACCTATATGCAGGCACATAAATATAACTGAAATAAAACACTGACATTGGGATCTACTATATGGTTTAATTCATAATTAAAGACATAATTATACCCCCGAATAGGCCTATACCCTATATACAGGCACATAATTATAACTGAAATAAAACACTGAAATCGGCAACTACTGTACTGATTATACACTATGTTGTACCCGGTATTATGCCCACATTACTATGACACACATTTTCATACATAATCAATAATTATAACTGAAATAAAACACGGAAATCAGGGACTATTGTATGTTTAATTAATTAAATTAACACACTCTGTTAGACGGCCTACATAGTCTTAAACCGTACATTATATCCCGGCCTCGTCACACCATGTATATAATACGCAACACGCATTTCATCACACCCATTTTTAGAATGGTATCACCCAGGTCAAACCCGGTGGCCAACTTGTATACTTGATACCTGAGTTGTGCTTCGCACTTGCCGCTGAGGGTGGCGTTCCGGGAACCCTGCGTCCAGCTGGATATACCATGGAGGTATTATTGAGAAGGAGATCACTCGACAAAGCCACGCGCACACAGCGCTATGCAAATGAACCAAGATCAAAGTTGCCGCAGCGCGTAAAGAACGTTTGCGCGATGCTTTTGAAGTCCCATGTGTTCCCCGCCATCAAATTTTCAGCAGGCATAGTTGGCCAAAAAATTGAACATGACGAAATGGAGAACACCTTCTTTTCTCAATGCGCACTACATACTGTCAATCACTATGGCTGCGCAATCTTTTCTATTTTGAAGCTGATACATTTATCTCCCATAAAATATCAAACATATTAATATTTCCTCCAAGAAAAGTTTCGAATTTAATGGAACATTTACATGACCTATAATAGTATAGTATATTTCAACTTCAATTTTCATAAATTGGCCAAAATTCGCCAATTCTAATTTTAACAGATATTAATTAATAAAAGTCATTTTAGGGTTAACGAGGGTTAACTATTCGAAAAATGAATCCAAAATCTGAGTATTTTTCAGTTTTACGCTGACTTAGCTTTATAGTCGAATCAGTCAATCTTTAGACAAAATTATAATGAACACAGAAGTAATTTTAACATAAATATTTTACGGAATCCGTTCCTGAAATATACAAATAATAACATACCAAAAGCCCAAAAAAATCTAATCAAGGGAACATTGTTCATTATAAAGATATTTAATGGGTTAAAATCAAACGTTTTATTGCACAACTGCTCTGCTGGAAGCGTATAAATGCATGTCGTTGCCAAGTTGTTGCTAACGAAAAAATGTGAATTATAGGTTTGTCGCGTCAAAGGGATCTGTTGCCGAGTGATCTCCTTCTCAATAATACCTCCATGGATATACCAACTTCACAAATTATTATTCATACAAACCTTTGTAAAACACAAAACAAAACTACATTTTAGATTGATTATAATATGATTGTTAATTAATCCAAAATATTAATGCATACTACCTTTACACAGATCAAACCTGCTACTATTCCTTTGTTGAGTTGATGTTCTATCTACGCTGAATTGATCAATAACTGGGTTTTTCCCAGGGTTGCCAGATAGTCGACAGGCTTCACGGCCAAACACACGCCATCTCACGGCCAAAT